TTGTGTTGCCATCAAAATTTTTCAGTAATCAACCTAAAACCTCTCAAATGATGAATGCACAATATGAAGCAATCATTGAGCAACAACAACAAAGACTTGATGACCAAGAGCAACGTCTAAATGAGCAACAGCAGCAACTCACAGCTTTGGAGGCAATATTGGTAGCAATACAACCTAGCATGCCTGTAAGCTAGTCGAATAGCATCATCCACCTAGGACAAGCTTCCGTTGCAAGTCAGGCAGAAAACCCAACCTCCATTACTAGCATGAAGTATTATTTTGTTTATTCACTTAGTAATTATTTGTTTATTATATTTATTGATTTGATTTTAATACTTATATTTCATTATCTATTGTAGCAGGATGTTGAGACTCAAAGTATGACTCTTGCTCAAGCTGTCATTAATGAGCTATCTAATTATTCACTTGATCATTTATTTGGAGAAAACTGTATTAATGTTGAGTCTGAAGATCGGTTATTTGATCAACCATTATTTTTTTACATTGTTGAGGATGGGGTTCAAAAATTTTGTAACATGGATAAAATATCAGTTGCTGATATTATTGCTTATATGAGGTTAGCTTATAAATATAAATATGCAAAGTTAATAAGTATTAATCTATATTACAGTGTATTACTAACTAGTATTGTTGATTATTAACGTGTAGCTTCCTATATAGAGAGGTCAATGTGAGACAAATGACCCATAGATTTAGATTCATTGACTCGAATTTTATTAGTGAGTAGAGTAGCACAGTCATTTTTTATGCTCCTCATGTGATTGAATGCATGAAAAAACGAGTTGATTATTATTTGCTCCCAAATAATACTACGTTAGTTATATTCATACAAATAATTATTCCAATCTTACCCGAATCTGAGATGATGCCTAATTTGAATATATCATTTTTATTATTTTAGCAGTCATCATTGGCGACTTATTGTTATTGATACCAATTCTTTTAACCTATACTTATTTAATTCCACTCAATCAACGACGATGCCTAACCCCGATATTAAAAATTTTATAAAGAGGTATTACAAGTTATTTACTATCTTATGTTTATTCATAATTACTTTTATTTTTGTATTAATTAATTTTTTCTTTTCAATTTAGGGTAATATATACATTTGATAAGAAAACAAAGATAAATTGGGTGTCATTATCGGTAAATGTGAAATTTATTCTTTTATGTTGAGTTTGTTTAGATAAATGTTTCCTAAACCCAATAAATTTATTTTTCTGGTACCTCGTCAACTAGGATATACTGAATGTGAATATTATGTCCTTCGTTTTATGAGAGAGATAGTTTCATATGATTTTAAGACTACACCATTCAAGGTTAGTATTAATTTCATAAAATCATTATATCTTCAAAAAAAAAAACTAAATTATGTTCTCGTTTGTTAACATTTATGTCTGATTTTTTTTTTTTTTGCTGGGAGAGTAAAAAGCTTCATGGTAGACGAACTTGATGAAGTTCATAAAGAGTGGTGTGAGTATGTATCATTGTTTGCTAAACCCTGAGGTTTGAGATTGTTGGTTGGGTTTAAATATATGCATTTCATTTGTTATAATGTTTTCAACATGCCATGTTGAATGGATAATTTAAGTTTCTAGATTGGGGTATATTTGTTTTATATCAATTGACAGCTTATATGAATACACATATATTGAGTATGATTATTTGAAAAAAATATATTTATATGGCAACATTATCAGTTTTAAATTCGGATAGGTGATCAATTTAATGAAATACTACATTGTTCGTAATGTAAATTTCAAAATTTAATTCATAGTATCACATATATAAATCAAATGTTTTTTGGGCATAAATCTACAATTGACTTTAAATGTTTTATGGGCATAAACCTACAACTAACTGCACATATATAATCAAGCCAAATTTTTTTATGAGATTACTGAAGGCATTTTTAGCCAAAAAATGCATTGAATAATCCCTTATAAAATGTTAGATGGGATTATTGAAGGTGTTTCTGACTAAAAACGCTTTTCATAATCCCTTCCAAATTTTTTCTATGGCTTATTGAAGGCATTTTTGGTTGAAAATACCTTCAATAATCTCTCTCTAAAATTTTTTGAATGAATTATTGAATGTGTTTTTGGCTAGAAATACCTTGAATAATTTCTTACTAAATAATCCTTTAAAAAACCCGAAAAAGATTAAAAGAGAGGGATCGAACCTATGACCTTATAGGTTAACAACCGTACGCTTTAACCGGTAGACAACCCCTTCAATAATCCCTTTAAATTTGACGAGGAGATTTATTAAAGGCATTTTTTTTACCAAAAATGCTTTCAATAATCCTTTCTAATTTTTTGGAGAATTATTGAAGGCATTTCTGGCAGAAAATGCCTTCAATAATCACCTTCATTTTTTATGAGAGGATTATTCAAGGCATTGTTTGCTAAAAATATCTTCAATAATCCTCTATTCATTTGTTATGAGAGGATTATTCAAGGTATTTTTTTGTTAAAAACACATTCAATAATCACTTCAGTTTTTTAGAAAGGATTATTTAAGGCATTTTAGTTGATAAATGCAGCTAATTTTTGTCTTTAGTGGCGTTTATAAGTTTCAACACCGTTATTTCAATATTTAGTGGCGTTTTGATAAAAAATACCTTAAGGTTTATAAAAACATGAAAACTAACTACATTTATAAGTGAAACACCTCGACAAAACTGCCACTAATATTCCATTTTCTTGAAGTGATTATAGCCAGTCTCCTCTATAATGAATTTGGCTCCATAGCTAGCATACTTCCACCATCATTTTGCCAACAAAGTTGAGTTCTTAACTTTAAAAATTTATAAAAGAAGTTAGTTAATTAAATGACTTAATTTCATTCGTTCTATTATTAATGTTAAAAATAAAAAAAAGGACTAAACAAATTTATTTAATAAACAATTATAAAAATTCAATTAACCAAACTAATTTGATGTGGATTAAGTTGGTTGAAACCTATTTATGCTCACCTTATTTTTATAATGGAAGAAATAGTTTAGCAAGCAAGTCATAATCTTGACATTTTCCCTTCGTCATTATCTATACAGCAACAATCATTCCGCTGACTTTTTTCCTCTACAATATGACAATTTCTCTCCCCACGAACACATTGCCTCATAGAGTAGTAACCAAAGCCAACCACTAAAAACACAAAGCAAGCCTAAAACTCTTTTTTTTCCCAATTCGAACCTATAAAAAAAAAACCCTAAATATCACTATTTTCTCCATCTTTTTCATGGCCACCACCACCATGTACCACCTTTCAGACCCAACCTCATCCAACACCACCTTTGTCCAAGCTGACCCTTTTACCTTTTGTGTTAGTCTAATATTTTTTTACATCTAATGAATATCTAATTCACTTATTATCAATTGATTTTAAGTTGGATGCTTAATATGGTATTAAAGTTAAGATTTCTTTCTGTTACTCTTTTCAAATTTGTCACATAGAATGTTTTTTTTCATCTCCTACTATACGTGATGAGAACTTATTAGTGTAGTGTTATTCTACATTTAATAAATATTTAATTTTTTGTAATATTATATTCAAATTGGACCTATTCACTTATTATTAATTAGTTTTAACTTAGATACTTAACATTCCGCACCATAGTTCAAAAGCTTACAGGTGCTTCCGACTACCCTTCCACCCTAAAGCTTCCTTTTACGCACCCAACTCTCCCAGCTGCCTCCGACATAGGCCCAAGCAGCCTATTTCCAAGCTCCACGAACATAGACAAGCCATAAAAAAGCTCGAAATCAAGCTGAGCGACAACAACATTGGCAAAAACGAATGCCCTTCGAATTTCCTCTTTGTTAGACAAAGATGGTTCTTAGTTTCACCTGTTTCAACATTGGACTTCTGGCGGCCAGTGAGCCCATCGTCGTCTGGGGGGGAGTAAGAGTACGAAGCCCTTAGTTGAAGAAGAAGAGAAAGCTGTTGCTGAGAAAGGTTTTTATTTGCGTCCAAGTTCTTTGGGTATGCCTAGAGGTGGAGCTCAGCCTGAGTTGTTGCCATTATTTCCTTTACATTCTATTCTCCTGGGGAAAAGTACCGAGTATGATTATGATGATAATTTTTTTTATATGATTTGTTTATTGACATTTTAGATCAGACTTTTAATGGATCAGTGTTAATTATCTTGCTTTGTCTGCCTAACATGTTTTTCTTACTTTGGAAGAAAAGGCTGCAGCTGATAACATGAAGTTTCCTTGTAAATTATTTTATTAGGATTAAGATTCTTCCATTTATTTTTCCACATTCTTTTTCTTTTTTTTTTTCATTTTTATCAATAAGATTCCATTTATTACTTACTAGCGTTAGACCCCACTTAGTGATTAATATTGATATCTGAATTAATTATACAGTAATTTAATGGACTTTAAGGAGAAATTTTACAACTTAAAAAATATCATCTAAATTCTTTTTGGGAACCGATTTTGTAATAAAGAAATTATCCCCTTTAATATATATCCCACAATGATATTAAAGCTGTTTATCCTAATTTCTGGAATAAGCACAAAGTAAATAATTATCAGTTAAATAGTATCTTCAATAATAAAAAAATAATGAGTTAAAAAAAGTCACAAACGTTGGGTTTCCATAAGAAAATTTTGAGTTAATTATTTTTATTTGAGGGAGAATGGAAGATATGTATTGATTTTGTTCTAAAAAAGAAAGATATTTTGATTTTAATGTCTAATAGAATTTAGTTAAATTGAAGTACAATCCGATAATATAAAAAAAAAAATTTTCAAAAGTTTCTTCTATACCAAGTCAAGTTCAAGCATTTATTTTTACTAGGAAATCCTCTTCCTTCCGTAACTAGGATTCATAGAACCATTATTATAAATAGAGTCAAGTGTTAACCCTAATTCACGAACTTACTCCAAATATCATTATTTCTTTGATATTTATATATTTATAAATTGGAGTTTCTGAAGCTGTTTCTCTCTCTGTTAAGAAATATGGGTTTGGCCAAGAGGGCAGTGCTGTTTTCGATAATGATAATGGTGGGTATTTGTGGGTTATCAATGGCTGCTGTGTACAATGTTGGGGACTCAGCTGGATGGACAATCTTGGGCGGTGGCCTTGATTATCAAGACTGGGCTGCTACCAAGAAGTTCTTTGTTGGTGATATCCTTGGTATGCCTCTCTCCTTCCTCAACTATTTCCCTTTCTCTGTTAATTTTATGCATGCATTGTTTTCTTTCTTCTACAATAATATTTTTGGGTTGCATTAAAGACAACACATCTCCATATTTGAGAAACCCTTTAATAAGATTTTAGACTTGTATGCAAGAATAACCATATCTTGTTTTATAAACCATAATCAAAACTTCTAAAATTATAAAAAAATTTATTTGAAGTTCTTAGAATTTGAATTCTCATTATTAAAATTAATTATTGAAATTAAAAGTTTAACATTTTACAGATTGTATACACAAGCGGCGACAAAATTGAAAGTTTCCATTGCTTCTTTAATCTTGTTTGGATTCATTAATGTTGTTAATTTTTTTTTGTTTTGTTTTTCCCTCATTATAGTTTCTTTGCTTGTAGTTTTCGAGTACAACAACCAATACCACGACGTGACGCAAGTGAATGTCGAAGATTTTAAGTCATGCAACCCCGAGTCTCCCATTACCAGATATGGGAATGGTACCGACGCTGTCACCCTTGCAAGCCCTGGCGAGTACTATTTCTTATGTGGTTTTCCAGGCCACTGCCAAGCTGGTCAGAAGCTTCACATAACTGTTAACTCGGCTGGCTCAGCAGCTTCTCCAATTCCTCCAGCTAATAATGTTGCTCCTTCTCCCTATACTACCAAGCTCAGCTCCCTGGCTATGACCTTCGCCGTCATCCTCCCCTCCTTTCTTCTGCTGGTTTAGAGGCTTAAATTGTTGTTGATTTAGCTTTTCAGTTTTGTTAAAACAGTTTCTTTAATATGCCTTTGATTTATTTTAGTTAATAAGACGAACCAATCGAGTTCTATGTCTCAACAAGAAATTGTTACTTTTATTTTCACCTATATATTCAACTCGATTTAGCCCTACTCAATGAAAATTCTTTGATAAGGACAGACATTATATATAAGATATTGTCAAAGAAAAGTTATGTTAGTCGGATTCTAGGGTCAATATTCCGGATAGAGATTTATGTCTTACTCCATGCGTCGGACAAAATATTTTATGAAAAAATAAGTTGCAACCATATTTAAAGTCAACTGAGCACTAATCAAATACTTCAATTATGAAACAGTCTGAAATTGTACTCAATCAAATAATAATGTGAAAACAACAAAGCACATTTTTTTTATAAAGAAGGCCTTTATAAATAAAGGAGACGATCATTTAGGAATATGAAAAATGAGTATAGTAGATGTTTAGATTGACTCTTAGACTATCAATTTTTAAAAATCAACGGAATTAAAATTTGATATCAAAACTAAACACATTTGAACATTGAAATGATTCTCACATTTTTATAGCCCTAATTTCTGGAAATGATGTTCCGTACAATATTCAAAGTTATTTCTCTTTATTAGAATAGGTTTGGGCATGGAGAAAGCATGTACATGATGTATATATTAATCGGTCATCCAAATTGAGGGTGGAAAATGCATGCAAAGCTCATCTATACTTGAAGCCATAGAAGCAAATAAAAGTATTACCTAAAAGAAAAAGGAAATAAGGAAATTGCCAACAGGCCTTTTTATTATTGATAAAACAGAATCTCTAAATAAGAGAACCAATTTAAAGAGATTATTAGCATAAAACAAGCCGATCTCAAAATATTTGGGAACTGAAACCAACTTGACGAAATTATCTCTCTAAATTGTTTTTCCATCCATTTCTACTTTGTTAATATGGACGCAAGGAGATGAGAAATAAAACTGGAAATATTAAGCAGGCATACTCTTTCCTTGTTATTTTCCACATTTTGCTTAGATGATCTCTTACCTTACAGAAGCACAGATTGATTGCTGATTGTATAGCCCAGTTACTCTGTTTGTAAACTGTTGCCTGTTTCTTTTTCGTTTAGTTACAACTATAAATCCTTCGCCATCCCTGGTTTTCTCTTTATTTGCATCTAATGTTTTTGGTTCTTTATAGCTACTGGATTGAGAATCCAAGTCCTTTCCTTCACTCCCATAAAGAATTTTTATTATTGCACTGTCATTTGCAACTGCATCTGAAGAATTTTCCGAATGGTTGAGCTTTTTGTCACTGTTTGCAGGTTCACTTGTAGGATCCATGTTTTGCGTGACTGATCTGACAATGAAGCTAAGCAAAATCTGCTTTGCTAGCTCTGATTTCTCCTCTGCGCTGTGCTTTTTCAAATTAAAATCTTCAACTTCCCTACTGGATTTCTTATCAACTTGCTGCACTTCCGTGTTCATAACTTCACTCAGAGAGTTTAACTCATTTGAAACACTTGAATCAGCAGTTCCAGTCGTTTGCCAAACTCTGTTGGGTACAAACTCAGGTGCATGAGGGTTCGTAACTCTTAGGGGTCCAAATCCGCTTTGTTCCAAAATAGGAGTTTGGTATCTCAGAAAGCCATGTTCCATGCTGTCAGAATGACTGTTTCTGTAATATAATTGTGACCTGGGTCCACAAGGAAGTCGAGCAGCAACTGGAGGTCCAACGGGATCTGCAAGCATGCCTTGACTGGATATTACATCATAAACACTTGTAACAGCAACTGAATTTATTTGGTAGTTTATGTAGAGTGCTCCAGGATTGAATGGTTCAGCAGATGCTAATTGCTTACTGCCCTTCGTTTCTACAGGCTTTTCCTGACTAAAAGAAGAAGCCTTGTCACGAAAAGCCTGTATAAAGCAGTTTCTTCTGATTGGTTTTCACTCTCATGAATTCCTTCAGTTTCATCATCATCATTATCATCTGCAGCATTATCAACAACAGAGATATTATTTCCACCCTCCGTGTTTGTTGTCTCAGCTGGGTTGGTGCACATCTGCTGTTCAGTTTTTCCCTCATTTTGTTCTTCTACCTTCTCCTCTAATGGCTTTAGAACTGTACCTGGAGGTGCTACAGCTACTTCTTTGTAGGAAAGAGATTTTGAAGCAATGGCACTGAGATTTGCTGAAGGGGAGAAACCTTTGGAAACAGAAGCTTGCAAACTAACTGAATTCACGCCAAGACTTGTGCTACAAGACTTCGATTGCTTCACAGGATGCACCTCCTTTATAATGTTCTTGGAGGCAGTTTTTCTTGCAGGTGAAATAATTTCCCGCCTAGAGCCACTCTCTCTAACATTTGAATATCCGGAACTGTTCACCTTTAGCTTTGCAAGAACTGGTCTCTTCCTTCCAGACTTCCTTCCAGCAGCATTTCCTGACCTCCCTTGGCTTCTTGCCACCCTTCTTCTGAAGTTGTCTCTTCAACAACTTCAGTTGTAGCTGTTGGCTCAATTCTATTAATATCATCAGTTTCTTCTGGCTCTTCAGGATTAATAGAAGTCATCATTTGTATTTCATTAATATCTGCAGTACCCATACTTTTCTCTGAGACATCAAGGAACACAGCACTATCTATTACTAAGTTGTGATGTGTATCATGGGTTTTATCACTAATCTGTAGCACCTGCCAAGTTTTAAAAAAATATGTCAATGTTAAATTTTGAGCGGATAAAGAAGGATGAGATACAAAAATTCTGATCTACAGAAGTAGTAAATGTGTCAGAATGGAATGTAAAGATAAGCAAGTAAGCCAAATAAGAAGGATATACTAAAAGGAGCTTGACACAAGAAAATCTTAAAAACTTCACGTTCAGAAAATAGGGAAGTGTTCTAAGCTCTTAGTTAAATGTCAGTCAACAAAGTTTTGATGGCAGTTAAAGAATTGTCAAGCTAATCAGTTTGTTGTTTTGAAGTCTTTAAAAAAAACTGATCTTATTGAATTTGTGACAAGGGTACATTTTGTGTTATTAGCTCAAAATTATAGTATCTAATTTGGTGTTAGAAAAAGGTGTTTTATTTTGTTAAGGCCTTAAATCAATGTAAGCACCAAAGAAATGTCTTGTGTTAGCAGCTCAAAATCATAGAGAGGCTCCATCCATTTCAATTAGCAGGCCTAATCTTTGCCATCCAAAGAGGCCCCAGCAATTAGATTAAATCCTTAGATATATATGGCTCATTATTAAATCAAACATTGGTTGACTTATAAGTGGACAATTAGTTAATCTGAAACAAAACCATTTCACAGTGATGTCATGATAGTTTTTAAAGAGTAATGACAACATGGACAGAAACATCTAGTACCTTGGCACGCCACTGCTTCCTCTGTCCATCACTTCCTTTTGAATCTTGATCAGGACTAATGTAATCGAGGAGAAATGACACACTGCAACAAATGGTAACAGGTTTTGGTGCTGCAAGAAATAATGATAAAATTCAATAAATAGCAATTTGTGAATACCATATTAATACCTAAGATGACCTTTGCTTGCTATGGATGCATCTGGCTTTGGAGTTCCGTTTCGTGCTGCTTCTTGCTGCTCTAAAGCTTTTGGTTCAAAATATTCAAGCCAAGCAGCAGCGTCCTAGAAAAGAAAATGCAGTTCACAAAAAGTTTAATAATGTTAATCGACAGAAAAATAATGCTTCACTTCAAACTCGAATCTTTTCGATTACTGATCTCCATAAACCTAACAGAATGGACAAAGGTGCACCAAATTGCATAACCAATTGGTATAGACAGTCATGACCGAGGTATTTACCTGTGTACGAGGGTCATCTGGTCCAAGTTTTGCTTTTGAAGTATCTTGAGTGTAGTTTGCTCGTGTTGCACGCTTAAAGAATAGGCTTCCATCAATGAAAGAGCAATGGCAATGGCATGATAGCTTGCAGCTGTCTGTCAGGAGGAAATCAAATAAAATGATCAGGCTATGAGAAAATTAGACGTGTATGATTTTGTTGACAGATGAACATTTTTGCATACAGTTAGAGAGACATGCAAAGATAGACCAGAGAGAGAGACCTGTATGTGATCTGCTCCTAGTAGTCTTTGGTTGCACTTTAGAGCTTCATGTAGATATCCGAGAGCAACATGAACATTTCCCTTGCCTTCTTCCATCATAGCCACATTTATATAGGTCGCAGCAGTGTTTGGGTGAGATAATCCACAAGTAAAATGAAGAAGGAATAAGGCACGGTTTACATATCTGCCAAAAATGCCTTAATTTTGTCAAGAGTGCAAATAGAAAGCAAAGAAAGAACATAAGCTCCACAATTTTACAATATTAGTGTATAGAATGAACCAACATCAAGAAAGAAGGGGAATCAAGAGGAAAATCACAAGTTATCACTCCTAGCAGTGCAAGATTGCAGCTAACAATTCTGGAATGAAAGCACAAATATGAGCATTTTGGCGAATTAAATGCAAGCTAATCCGCAATAATCCCTGACTCACTTCAGAGCCATTTCAATGCGTTTGAGACGATAATACAGAAAGATCACCATAGCTTTTCATCATATCTGGATGATCAAGACCAAGCTCCCTCTCATTAATAATCCAAAGCTTTCTGATGCATAATGGTTAATCACACTAAAAGTGAGTTTTAAAATCAAAGAAACAAAAAGGATCGCACTAATCTTTGTAGAAGTTATATGTACACAAAAGTTTATTTTTTTAATAAAACTATAAGATGAGGTTAAAGTTTATCAAAAGATAAAATATTAGTTACGACAATAATCAGATTGGGTGTCGAGAGTCATGTTAACATAAAGATTAGCACCCCACAACGTCATAAATGTACATTTAACTATGAGCTATTTTAAGTTTATAAAAATGATTTTTGACTTGAAATTTAACAACTAATTTTCTTCGGAACGTTATTTTTATTTTATTTTATAATATCACAATTT